GTGACCGTCACAAGGAATGTAACTGATAAATATTGTTAAGTCTTATCGTTGCAAATCAGTGGTAACTCACAACGTTCCCGGCTCAGTAAATCTGCAAAATTTGATGATGCTCTTTCAGCAGAAGCTTTATATGAGAACATGACACAATCAATTATTTGAGAGAATGCTAACTTTGTTTTGGCTTTGTCATGGAAGGATTGGTGAGTTGAATATTTAAACTTACAAAACAATCATATATATATATATATATATATATATATATATATATATATATATATATATATATATATATATATATATATATATATATATATATATATATATATATATATATATATATATATATATATATATATATGAGGAATGTCTTCACATCATGTAACTATAGCACCATCTAATGCTACCTGCAATTCATATACCTAATTAGACTGTATCATCGGAGGCAATTGATTTTAAAATTATAATTAACTATTAAAACCACTCAACTTAAATCTCTTTCAATAATCAAAGGAAAGAGATTCCCACAAATAATCAAACAATTAAGAATAGCACAAGGTAGTAAATAATTTGTTTATAGTTTTATACAATCAAGAGGTGAAAACTTATAATCATATCAAATCTAAAACTTATATATCTTGTCATGCATCAAATTACATGACAGTAGAATACAATTCATTCTCTTTCAACATATACATCAAAAAATAACAATCGTAATACCACTCATTCGTTTTCAAACGGAAAGAGTAGCATATCATTCCACTACAATAAAAAGTCCATTTTGGCAAATGATTTAGTGACGTAGGTGGAAAAAAAACACGTTGATTTGCACGTCAATAAACCATTTAAATAATAAATTATTGAGACCTAAAATCTTCAACAAAAAATTGGAATTTTAAGAAGGAGGGAAGTTTGAAATTTTAAAAAATTCAGTTGTGGCATGTAAAACACGTGGGAATTGAAAATTCAAAAAGTCCTTTTATTTCCCACGTGTGTAACATGTGGGAATGTGGGAAGTTTCCCACATGCAAAGCACGTCGCAAAACTGTAAATAAAAAATATCTCAAGCTTTTCCATTAACTTTTTCAGACACATTGGGAAAATGTAATGTTTCTTGTAGTGTTCATGGTGAATGATTTAATCAGCAACATCATTACTTGGGAGCTCATTCAAATCAAAGTCCCGAACAACTCTTGGCCCCACTTCTGTTTCAACATAATTAGTCGGGCGCTCGTTTAGAACAGCTCTTGACGCCACTGTTTCATCATTACAGACACTTGTTAGCAGCATATTATCATTCCCAAGTTTCATCCTGTTATACTCAGGATGATTCGCATCAAGATTCACAACCGATTCGCGAGACATATCCAACAATGGTATTGGAGGAGTATTATTAGAAAGTCCATAAGGAATAAGATATCTCCTGCTCCTTTTCTTGGTATTGTAAGATCTTGGTGGCAGCAGACTTAACAAGTCAACAGCCGGTAACTCTTGTTGTTCACAAGGTTCCGATGCAGTAGATGGATGATGAACGGTACTCTTGAAAACCCTAGTCCATGAATGTCTTTTCTGTTTGACATCATGATTATTACCATAACTTGGAGAAGAAGATAAAACGAAAGTGATCTTGATAGTTTTGTGACACTTATCATCATCATCATGTATTTGTTGTTTCTTGGAGCGATGAACAGTCTTGTGACCCCCAAGTGCTTGGCCTGTGGTGAATACTTTGTCACAAAACTCACATTTGTAAACATGTGGTTTCTCATCATATTTAAAAGACCGTTGTTGTTTATCCTGGTTGTTGTTTCTGTGTTTATGAAACGAAGGAGGTGAACAAGATTTCACCATGATGATGCAATAGAAGGGTTTCAGAGAAGCAAGAAAGTGTTGTGTGTAAGCGGTGGAGAGTGAGATTGTGAAGACTGAAATAGAACCCTATAAAAAAAACAGAAAGTGTCGCTTGACTATAGGGTTTTCTACTTGCTATTCTTAAGTCTCAGATTTCAGGAGAAAGTATCACTTTGAAATCAATCTCTATATTTTCGGAAAGATTTAATTAAATCTCTTTCATAAGCCCTATTCTTAAGCCTCAGATTTCAATACATATGCAAATAAATTAGATCAGTTCAAATTGTCAAAATATATTTTAAAAGATTCGCTTAAACTATTTTTAATTTATTTTTTCAAAAAATTTATATTTTTTAAGAAATATTATTATTTTTAAATACTATTATTTTATTAATTCATTTAGAACATATCAGATTATTTTTAAATTCATTTTGGATATATCAAATTATTTATTTTATTTATTCTGAACATATTTTAATTAAAGTCATTGTCCAGACTATTCCAATCTATGTCGAGAGTGTTTCAAATTCACCTAAAAACCTATGTGATGAAATGGATATATTAGTCGGCAATTATTGATTTTTTTACTGGATTATCTTAGTCTAAAATACTATATATCATAATATCTTAGTTTGAAAAAAATTGATCCCATTTTTACTATATGCTTGTCTACTCAAGTGGCGAGCTTATGCTTGTGCTATTTTAGTGTAGGTGCTCGTCCACTCAAGTGGCGAGCACGTGTTGGAGTCGTTTTTATTTTTTATTTTTCATATTTAATTTATGTTATGTTTAACTAGTAGAAGATCTGTGCGTCCGCACGGCTATGAGAAAAAGTATAATCTTATCGAATTCAAATTTCACAAGAAAAAGTATATTCAAATGCACATTAAGAGTAATATTTATGCAGGTTTTTATTTATTTGAATTCAACTGATAGTATCTCGTGTAACTTTACGAAGTATTTCAATCACATTTTAAACATTATAGTGAAAAGTTTGAAATACATAATCAAGATTTTAGACTTTTAATTTTTTAAATTAATATTTATACATGATTCATTTTTAGAACAATAGAGTAACATACAATTTTATCGTAAACTTGTATGGAATAAAACGATCAAATACATCAAATTTTGAGTTATTTGACGATATTAGCAAATCCCATATGATGAATCTCTTATTTTTTGACTACAGACATAAAACCGTTACATTACATTAACTAAATATTGCCTAAAAAAATCCTTATCAATCTTGCATCAAATGTTCATAATGGATTAATATAGCCATGGCATGTTGTCAAATCACAAAGAATACATGTTTTAAACTTATATGATGCGTCCGCACAGGTAAATTCATTTTGATACAATATAAAATACATGAGCTTCCGCATGAATCAATTTATTTGATGCAGTATAAGATGTAATGTATTTTAGATGTACATGTAAATTTGAAATGAGTAATTAAATTGTAAAATAAACAATGATCAAATAAACTCAATTATAACTTCAATTATTTCAATAGTCGGTGTTATGGATGTTTGAGTCCTAACTCATTAGCATAAAGAATGAAAATGTATTGAAAAGTATTATATAATAGTTCTTTACTGAGAAAAAAATGAATTAAGAAGTTATGTTATAGTCCCATGTTTGGTAGTTGGTTATGTAGTAGGAATATATGACATTAGAAATGTTAGTAGTGGTTTAACTTCAGGCAATACTTTTTAATAGTCGTAGGAAAGGTCAATAAACGTCAATATAAATAGCAAGTATAAGTCATGCCTTTACAGAGTTCAAATTTAACATAACCTTGTACAATAAGCCAAAACCAACAGTAGTAGAATAAAAGCACATAAGGATATTCTCAAAATAACTAACCAAACACACATGTGTTCCACCAAGAATTAACCAAAAACAAATACAAAAGCCTCAACCGACAACAATTAAAAATTACAACTGAAAACAAATAGGTGTCTAACCACCACCCACCAATCCTTGCTGCATAGACAAACCAGAGGCTCAATAATGGCAGCAAAAACCAACGAAAACCTGATACAAGCAGGATCAGATTCCCTGCAGTAGAAAAGGCACGCAGTCACACTATCATGCAGCAGGAACCGTTTGATTAACATTAGACATTCTTGATTTAAGTTGATTATTTTTGGAATTATAAAATTCTGCAGCATATGTAATAGTACTTGCAGCATAGAACATTATGTCATAGAAAGTAAGCTTAAAACAGCAAGAAATAGCAAGTCTTAGCAGATAAAACCAAGAAACATATATGTCAAATGTAGATAGATAGATACCACAATTTCTAATTCCACCAACTGAAGTTGAAAAATAATACCAAACTTAAATTTCACCCAAGGACTGAGCACAAGTTGAAAAAAATTAACCGAACAAAGTAATAGTACTTGCAAGCTACAAATTCCATTTAACAAATTACAGCAGCATGGTGTTTCTACATCAGCACACTTCAAAATTTTGCATATCCATACTCTGCACCACCATCATGTACCAAAATCCAAAAATTCAGTGGTTTTAAAAATTACAAACCAACTTTCGTATTTGAGACAACTACAACTGCCAACATGAAGAAAAAATACACATTCTTATAAATCTGTGAATAAGCTAACACCAAATTGCTAATCAGTAATTAACTTAGCCAGGGCTAGCTAGGGTAGAGTTAACACTCACATCAAGCGGTAAATTAATAATCAAACGCATTATTACCAAGGTGATGTTGACAGAGCCAAGGACTTTAACAGCAACATTTTCAGATGTAAATTTGCAGAGACCATTACTGCCAGTGTAGGGATATTCTTCTTCTGTCTCAAGGCCACCATTCAAACTCTTATAATGTTCTATCAAAAATCACAGTTTTATCCATCTCATTAATCTTCATACACTTATTCCAAAGTGTTATCAAATAGCGGCGCCATGACTGCTATGTCGGATATACATGGCTGTTTGAGTTCGCCATAATCATAATCCGCTATAATGGCGCGACAAATGTGAATGAGGGAAAGTTTCGAACTTTGAACTACGCCTGAAGATTGCACTGTTGCAGAAAAGGGTGGTCGAAATTCAAATATTTGGTCCAATAACTTTTATATCTGCCCATTGCAATATCTAACCATGGCTTCCTAATACCATCAGTGTATAACGACAGCTTGCTCAATCTCATTTCGATCAACGCCTGAGTTATGACCAAGGCCAAGAATGTGCCATCGTCTGTCCAAAATCTCTGTCTTGTTATAGAAGGTGAGCCAACCTAAAGGAGAACGTCCATTGTTCTTCCATAATGGCTTCTCAGTACCCTGCAAACATTCACCCCAACAAATACTTAGATTATCAAAGAAGCTAAAAAAATAAGCTTATGTGACAAAATAATCACCCAATGCAATGAAAATTAAAACAGTCTGCATATCAATTTTTCATATTTAATAATAATCATAAAAATCAAAATATCAAAGTTTTTCTCATCAGATTCACCGTGATTTCCATTACAGACGAGCATGCTGGCCGACACGGTGGTCGAAAAGCTGAACAACCACTTCTCTTCCTTCTAATTATCTCAGTAGTTGCAGTGCAAGCAAGAGTGGTTCTACAATCCATACCACCATATCCTCCTGAACCAGATGAAGTCTGGTTCAAACCAGCCGGTTCGAGAACCGAGTCAGGAGTCATTAGACAGTTGTCGTGTTCAGAATCAGATAACGGCATGTAGTTGCATTCGAAAAGGTAGCCAGATAATGTACCCAATGTTCTCATAAGGTGACTCACCTGTAAGAAAATAATTATATCAGATTGAGTAAGGAAAGACAAAAAAAATAAAGTTTGTGAAGTTATCTATACTAAATAAATATAATATATCAGGGGAAATCCATGAAGCAGGTATCACAAAATAAAAGTATATTTAATGCAGAAAAAGTGTGCCACTTGCTTGGAGAACTGAAAAATTATTAAAACACATTATGTGATACAAATTATTAAAAGAATGAAATTCATTTTTGTGCAAAGAAGAGTTTCGTAGTCTTGCTCTCATGGCTATAGTCCATCTCTTGCCATTGCCATCAAAATTCGTGGCTGCGAAACATCGACTAATATTTAGTGTTTTCGTTTGGCAAATTGAAATAAGGAAGAATTGTTTTGGCAATATCAGAGATATCCGATAATTTACTATAGAAATATGCTTTTTCTATTTATTCTATTCTGTAACATAGTACATGAGTATTTATAGAATATAAATTACACTAAGAAATAGGGGTAATTATTCTCCCTATAAATGCTAATCCTAAATAAGGTAAGAATATAATAATACAATTAATTTCTATTTAATCACAATTTGAATCCAGCCATAATGAGCTGTATGACAGAATCTGTTTTGATTTTGTGCTAATATTCAACACTCCCCCTCAAGCTGGCATGAATATATCGTTCATAGCAAGCTTGCACACCATGTTATCAAACAGTCTCTTTGGAAGACTCTTTGTGAGAACATCTGCTACTTGACTTTTGGTAGGTATGTAGGACATACAAATCTCACCGCTGTCAATTTTTTCTTTGATGAAATGCTTGTCCACTTCAACATGCTTCGTCCTGTCATGTAGGACAGGATTATGGGCAATAGAAATAGCAGCCTTATTGTCGCAGTAAACTTTAATTGGAGTTGGGCCAAAGAACTTCAATTCTTCCATGAACTTTTTGATCCATAATACTTCACAAAAACCATGGGCCACAGATCGGAATTCAGCTTCTGCACTGCTCCTGGCTACAACATTTTGTTTTTTGCTCCTCCATGTAACTAGATTTCCACCTACAAAAGTACAATATCCTGAGGTAGACCTTCTATCATTTATATTCCCTGCCCAATCAGCATCTGTATAGGCTTCAACCTGTATATGTCCTCTATTTCTGAATATCAGCCCCTTTCCCGGAGTACCTTTCAAATATCTTAATATTCTGAAAATAGCTTCAAAGTGGGCTGCACCTGGTGCATGCATAAATTGGCTTATTACACTCACTGCAAAGGCTATATCTGGCCTTGTATGTGACAAATAAATTAGTCTTCCAGCCAATCGTTGATAACGTTCTTTATCTACTATTTCATCTTCAGCAACTGACTTTAGTTTCACATTGGGATCCATTGGTGTTTCTACTGCTTTAGACCCTGTCATCCCTGCTTCTGCAAGTAAATCGAGTATGTACTTGCGCTGGTTGAGAAAAATACCTTCTTTAGATCTTGCGAACTCCATCCCAAGAAAGTATTTTAACTTTCCAAGATCCTTGATATCGAACTCAGCCTCAAGTCTTCTCTTCAGATCACTAATTGCTTTGACGTCATCTCCTGTAATAATAATGTCATCAACATACACTATTAAGATAGCAATCTTACCTTCAGATGAGTGTTTAAAGAACATAGTGTGATCTGCTTGACTTTGGGTGAAACCGTGTCTCTTAACAACACTTCCAAATCTCTCAAACCAGGCCCTTGGCGATTGTTTCAATCCATATAGGGATTTTCTCAATCTGCATACTTTGTTTCTTCCAAGATTTTTTTCAAATCCAGGAGGTAAACTCATATATACTTCTTCATGTAATTCACCATTCAAGAAGGCATTTTTAACATCATATTGATATAGTGTCCAGTTGAAATTTACTGCAAGAGAAAGAAGAATTCTGATAGAATTGATCTTAGCAACTGGGGCAAAAGTCTCTTGGTAATCAATACCATGAGTTTGAGTAAATCCTTTTGCTACTAATCTCGCTTTGTATCTTTCCACACTTCCATCAGCCTTGCATTTCACTGTAAAGACCCACTTACACCCTACTGCCTTTTTATCTTGTGGTAGATCAGTGATACTCCAAGTGTTATTTTTGTTTAGAGCATCCATCTCTTCTTTCACTGCTAATTTCCAATTCGGATCACTTAATGCTTCCTGAATAGTTCTGGGCACAAACAAATTAGAAATCCTAGACACATATGCCTTATGGGTGTGTGATAGTTTGTCATATGACAAGTAATTAGACATAGGATGTTTAGTGCACATACGAGAACCTTTCCTCTCAGCAATTGGGACATCGAGGTCAGGAATATTTTTTCTCACAGAAATTGGAAGATTAATATCAGGAAAAGACAAATCAGATAAATCATTGGATGAGTAAGAAGGATTACCAGATGAAGAACTAGAAGACAGATTATCTGTAGGACCTTCACTTGGTAAATCAGATTGGATTTCTACTGGAGAGACAATAGGGTTTGCACCACCTTTGTGGAATTTTTTTCGAACATACACTTTAAGTTCAGGATTATCATCCTTAATCAGTGTTTCTCCCCCTGTTTCAGATTCTATTATCTTAGTATTTGGGTGATTTGTAGTCACAATATCATCTAGAGCAGGCAAAGTTTCCCAAAAATTATCTTCTCTATTATTACATTGACTCTCCCCCTGAAGAGAATTTTTAAAAAAAGGTTGATTTTCAACAAAGTGAACATCCATGCTTTCAAAAAATTTCTTTGTAACTGGGTTAAAACATTTGTATCCCTTTTTATTGGAAGCATAGCCAAGAAAAACACATTTTTCGGCTTTAGGATCCAACTTAGAACGAAAAACATTGGGGATGTAAACATAACAAAGACAACCAAAAATTTTAAGGGGAAGATCCGTAATAATACGAGATGTAGGAAAATTGTTTTGTAACACTTGTACAGGACTTTCATATTGTAACACCCGAGATGGCATTCGATTGATGAGGTGACAAGCAGTTAATAAAGCATTTCCCCAAAGATACTTAGGTACATTCATAGAAAACATAATAGCTCTAGTGACTTCGAGGAGATGTCTATTTTTTCTTTCAGCAATACCATTTTGCTGCGGAGTATCGCGACAAGTGGATTGATGAATTATCCCCTTAGTTACAAGGAATGTACTTAAATATTTGTTGAAATATTCAGTGCCATTGTCAGACCTTAGAATGCCAATCTTAGTTTGAAATTGATTGTTAATCATGTTAAAAAAATCTTGAAATCTTTGTTCAACTTCTGATTTTTTCTCCATGAGATAAACCCAACACAGCCGTGTATGATCATCAATAAATGTTACAAACCATTTTTTTCCAGACATAGTTTTAATTTTTGAAGGACCCCAAACATCACTGTGAATTAAATAAAAAGGTTTAGAAGCAGAATAGGCTTTTGATTTAAAAGACACACGATGATCTTTAGCTAAGTGACAAGCTTCACAATGAAATTGTGAGGAATTTATTTCTTTGGAAAAAATAGGAAACAAATGCTTAAGATATGAAAAACTAGGGTGACCTAATCTTTTATGCCATAACATAATTTGATCTGAAACAGGAGATGCGTTTGTACTGTTTGAACCGAAAAACGCTTTATTGCCAAACTGAATTCCATCAAGGTAGTACAATCCATTCATCTCTCTAGCAGTTCCAATCGTCTTCCCCGAGTTCTGGTCCTGAAAAACACAAGTAGAGGGACGAAAAAGAACAGAACAATTAGTGTCCTTAGACAATTTATGAACAGATAGAAGATTACAAGCGAATTTAGGAACATGTAAAACAGATTGCAAAGTGATTTGCTCTGAAATTTTTATGCTGCCTTTGCCTGCAATACTTGAATAACTACCATCAGCTATCCTAACTTTTTCAAAACCTGAACTAGGAAAATAGGTACTGAATAGATGAGAGCAATTAGTCATGTGTTCAGATGCCCCTGAATCTATTATCCAAGGGTTAGAGTGGTTGTGAGCAGATAGTGCCCAAGAATCCTTACCTGTTTGTGCCACAGTTCCAGTAGGGATATTAAGAGATGAATTGGACTTTAGAAACTTAAGAAGGTTATCCATTTGCTCCTTCGTACATGGAGACGAATCAGCCTCATTGGCCATAGGCATAGGACGATCACCAAACTTACCAGCCTTGCCATGATTTGGTCGCCCATGTAGTTTGTAGCAAGTTTCCCGAGTGTGGCGATTGCGCCCACAGTAATCGCAAAATAAATGAGTCTTGTCTCCACCTCGTTGATTATGAAGTGGTTTACGATTGACATGGGGAATTGCCAAGGCAGATCCTTCAACTGGTGGAGGGACAGCTGCTGTATTTTTGCCAAGCATCACTTGCCGACGACTCTCTTCGCGACGTACTTCTGAAAAGACTTCACCAATTGGAGGGATAGGATTTCTGCCTAGAATTCGGCCACGAACCTCATCAAAATCAACATTTAGACCCGCAAGGAACTTGAAAACACGACTAACATCCACCATCTTCTTGTAATGTTTGCTATCGGCAGGTGATTTCCACTCATACTCATTGAAAAGGTCCAAATCTTGCCAAATACGTTTGAGACAATTGAAGTATTTGGTGACTGAATCTTCACCTTGCCGAATTTCTCCCAATTTGAGAGTTAATTCGTAGATTTGGGATTGATTTTCCAAATCAGAGTACATTTGGGAGACACCTTCCCAAAGTTCTTTTGCAGTATCATAACAGAGATAATTTGCACCTATCTCTTCATCCATGGAGTTGACTAACCATGTCATGACCATGGAGTTTTCAGCATCCCATGTATCATAGTCTGCACCTGCCTTGTCTGGTTGTTTTTTGTCGCCAGTAATGTAGCCAATCTTTCCTCTCCCCCTGAGATACATACGAACGGATTGCGACCATCGAAGATAATTAGCACCGTTCAGCCGAATTGTTGTGATCTGAACAGGGTGGTTTTCATGGTACGTTCGGACTAATTTAGGTTCGGG